GTAATAAACTGAAATTAAACATGAGAACATGTTAGTGAGAATTTTAGAGCAGCGTGTGAAGTTTAATTGAAAATTTATTTTGTGCGATTCACTAGGGCTTGTTTGGCAACTAGAAGCCAAAGACTTATATATGGTATATAAGTCTTCTTATATTGAGCTCATCTCTCCACATATGAGTTGAGTGGAGAATTTAGGGAAACTTGAAGAGAGAAAGAGAGGAAGAAGAGGAAAGCAACAAAAGTTGGAGAATTCGAGATCTACTAGAGACACTTGAAGAATCCAACCTAAGGTGAGTATGTATGGTCATTAAACCCTAAATTTCTTTTCAGTTGGTTGAATTAGGCTTGAAGTGGTACATCCTTTATAAGAGAAAAGAACTAGGGTTTAATTGTGTTTGCTTGTGAATAGTGAACTTCATAAAGAATCATGCATCTCTTATGTGTGTATAATGGAAACTTAATCTCCATGAATGTGTTTGAACTCCTATGATTTATAAGCATGAGTATCTATATATATGTATGTGTATTTACTTGATGATAATGAAGAATTTATGGAGAGCGAGGGGTGTATAACCCCAAGAACAAGCCCTGGTCTTGATTTATTTAAAACACATGTTTAGGTGTTTGTATGCTATAATGTTGGTATGTATTTACCTTGAATTGGCCATGGGACTACCCCTTGTGCACTTAGAAAAGTTGAACTTTCGGACTGAAAAATAGGGTAAACAGCCGCACATGCGGGGCCCATAGCCGCACGTATGGGAGACTCAGCCACACGTGTGGAAAACAGGGGAAAAGAATGGATGCATTCTGCTAAAAAGGCATATGTGGCCCGCACGTGCGGGATACCTGGCCGCACGTGCGGTGGCGACTCCCGCACGTGTAGCCCAAGATGGAAAATTTCGAGATCTTCTCTCGCTCATCCAGACCTCTTAAAAATATGGTTATGTCTGTTTGATGTTTCCTTGATGCACTTAATTATGTAAAGCATAACGAATTAAACAATGAGAAATGAAAAGAAAAGGGGATGTGCTAATGATTTATGTGCTTGGTGTAGGGCATCTGCAGGAAGGAAGCAACGTCCACCCGCATCACAGTGAGTGATAGTAGCATAACATAATGTTCTGTTTACATATTTCGTTGTGCACATGCTATTTAGGATACTATTCACTCTTTCGTAAATGTATAAAGTTATATGGAATATGTTGATATGTGGGACTTTGGTATATGATGTATAGATCCGAGATCTTTTGTCTGTTGATACAATGGGCCTAAGGTCGTTTTGCTATTATGATAGGCTTAAGGCCGTTCTGTACTCTGTTGGGCCCGAGGCCGTTCTGTTTAATATGGGCCTGAGGCCGCTCAAAAATGAGAAGTGAGATAGTGAATTGTGAATATGCAATGCTGGTTCGTGTTTCTACTTTTAATTTATTTACTTTGCTATCATTCACTGAGCTTTGCTCATTCTACTTTACTGAATGTTTTGTAGGTACTCAACTTACCGGTCAACCCTAGGTTAGCCCAGGAGTCGAAGTCGAACCCGTTTTGCTGAGTCAACTTAAATGGCCCTTGTTATGTCTCGGAAATCCCTATGATGGGATATTTTGTTATAAGTTTGCAAACAACGCGCACGTATATAAGTATTGTAGAAACTTAACTTTTGAATTCACTTTTACCTATCTTTCGTAATGTGTAACACGAAATGGTGGTATGTACTGTAATGCATCATGATCCTGGCACTTAGACACAGCTTAATGAATGTTTGTTTCTTTCCTTATTTAGCTTCCGTTCAGGCCGGTCGTGTCCAAACTTTTAGGGGCAGGTTTGGGGTGTGACAGTTGGTACCAGAGCATGAGTTGTTACCTCACGCACGAGTTCATTGAGCTTTAAGGCTTCTAGTAAAGATATGAGTCATAAGCATATGATATATGGTGCATAAACATATTGACAATGACCATGATGCATGTTTATTTGTGCATTTTGTATGTATTATGATCAATTGCTATGTAGATCATGGTGAGAACTAGAACAGATAATTCAGAAGATGCCACCGCCGCGCGGTTGGATAGAATGGAAAGGATAATTATGGAGATGGCAGAAACTTTGAGGCAACAACAGTAGTAACAGCAACAACCACCACCACCCATACCTGTACCACCGCCAAGGATACAAGATCATCAAGCGGAGGACCGAACAATCACATTCACGAAGGAATTTAAAAAGATAAAGCCGTCATCATTCAAGGGAGGGATAGAAACAATGAAAGCTGAAGCGTGGATGTTGGGTATAGAAAAGTTATTCGAAGTTTTCCCTTGTACTGAAGCTCAAAAAGTGCAACTTGTTACCTTCACCCTCGAAGCTGAAGCATGGAGGTGATGGATGTTTACGAGAACTGTACACCAGGGGTTGACATGGGATAGATTTTTGGAATTGTTCTATGACAAGTATTTTCCCCAGAGCATGTGAGACAAGAAGGTGACTGAGTTTGAAACCCTGAGGCAGGGGAATAGAACTGTTGCAGAATATGAGGCTCGATTTGCTGAATTGACTCAGTTCGCTCCGTACATGGTGGACACAGATTACAAGAAGGCGAGAAAGTTCGAAGGTGGGTTGCGGACTGCTATTCTTGACCAAATTAATGTGTTGAAATTACCCACGTATGTTGACGTGTTGGAAAGGGCCGTGATTGCTGAGGGCAATGTTGTTGCTCAAAACCAGGCCTCGGAGTGGAGAGGGAAAAGGCAGAACACCCAAACTTTTAAGGGCTCGGGGACACCACCAAATAAGAAGTTGAATTCAGGAGCTTCTAGCACATCCGCATCTACCCGTGATTCTGCACCAACCTGTCCAGATTATGGAAAGAGACATCATGGAATCTGTTACTGGGCAACGGGGGCATGCTTCAAGTGTGGAAAGACAAGTCATTTGGCCAGAGAATGTCCGCAAATGAATCAACAAAATGGGAATAGAACCACCGCAAGTTCAGCGGGATCAACCCCTACCCTAACTACAAAGGCAGCTACAAAACCCACCAATACCAAAGACACTGCTAAACAAGGAAAGGTATGCGCGCCAGTTTCGGGCGACGTGCAAAATACCGAGGCCGTGGTATCAGGTACATTTTCTGTTAATGGTCATTTTGCACATGTGTTATTTGATTCAGACTCCGCTCACTCATTTGTATCGAAAGCATTTGTTAGACATTTAAATATGCCAATGGAACCACTGTCCTATATTTTGTCTGTATCTACACCCTCGGGGGCGTCCATGGTATGTACGTCCATTTACCTTACGTGTGAAGTCCTAATTGGGGATGTTTGGGTAGATGCAAACTTGTTACCTCTTGATATGGTTTATTTTGACATAATCTTGGGGATGGATTGGTTAAGTAAATATCACGCGACTATATATTGTGCCTCAAAGCAAGTTACTTTTCAACCCCCAGGACGATCTGAGGTTGTTTTTACGGGCGAAGGTCTAGTTTCTCCACCCTATTTGATTTTTGCAATGAAGGAGCTTAAATTACTGCAAAAGGGTTGTCAGGGATATTTGTGTAGTATTTTGAGTAAACAATCAGTGAATGAAGGTATTGATACAATTCCGGTTGTGCGGGATTTTTCGGATGTTTTTTCGAAAGAGCTACCAGGAGAGCTAGTGGATCGCGAAATTGAATTTACAATTGACCTTATGCCAGGAACTCGGCCCATTTCAAAAACTCCTTACCGAATGTCTCCCGTCGAAATGAAAGAGTTGAAGGTTCAATTGCAAGACCTTCTGGACAAATGATTCATTCGCCCGAGCATTTCCCCTTGGGGGACACTAGTCCTTTTTGTGAAAAAGAAAGACGGGACCCTTTGGTTGTGTGTTGATTACAGGGAACTCAATAAAGTAACCATAAAGAACAAATATCCTTTGCCCAGAATCGATGATTTATTTGATCAATTGTAGGGTGTACAAGTCTTCTCTAAAATAGATTTGTGTTCAGGATATCACCAGCTAAAGGTTAAGGCTGAGGATGTAGAGAAAACTGCCTTCCGGACCCATTATGGACACTATGAATTTTTGGTTATGCCATTTGGGGTCACTAATGCACCTGCGACCTTCATGGATCTGATGAACCGAGTATTTAGGCCCTATTTGGATGATTTTGTGGTTGTATTTATCGGTGACATCCTTATTTATTCAACAAGTATAGAAGCTCATGAGAATCATCTACGGTTAATTCTTCAAACTCTACGGGACAAGAAGTTGTATGCAAAATTAAAGAAATGTGAATTTTGGCTACATGAAGTAGGCTTCTTGGGGCATGTGGTGACAAAAGAGGGTGTTGCTGTTGATCCACACAAGGTTGAAGCTATTGTGAACTGGCCGACACCTACTAATGTGTCAGAGGTGCGCAGTTTCTTGGGTTTGGCCGGATACTACCGCAGATTTGTTAAAGACTTCTCTAAAATTGTGGTACCACTTACTCAGTTAACTCAGAAAGATGTTTCATTTGAATGGTCGGACCAACAGGAATCTGCCTTTCAAGAATTAAAGACAAGATTAACTACAACACCTGTTCTAGCCTTGCCATCTGGTAACGAAGGATTCGAGATTTACAGTGATGCCTCTCACAAAGGGTTAGGCTGTGTACTTATGCAAAGTGGAAGGGTGATTGTGTATGCGTCTCGTCAACTCAAACCCCATGAGAAGAACTACCCCACACACGACCTGGAGCTAGCTACAGTGGTCTTTGCTTTGAAAATATGGCGTCACTATCTGTATGGAGTTAGGTGTGAGGTTTATACTGCTCATAAGAGTCTTAAATACTTCCTCACCCAGAAGGAACAAAACATGCGTCAGAGACGGTGGTTGGAGCTTATTAAGGATTACGACCTACAAATTCACTACCACCTCGGTAAAGCTAATACAATGGCAGGTGCCCTTAGTCGAAAGAGTACGGGGAGTTTGGCAAATTTGCTCACGAGATAGGAGGAGTTACTACGTGACTTGGGAAGAATGAACGTGGAAATTGTGTTACATGAGCCGGATGCAACAATTGTAGCGATAGCAACCCAACCAACAATTATGGAAGAGATTAAGCAACGGCAACTAGAAGATGAATTTCTACAGAAAATTTGTGATGAACTGGAAACGAAACCAAAGCCCGAGTTCAAAGTTGAAAATTCAGTTTTGAAATTTCCAGGTAGGTGGTGTGTTTTCAATGTGCCAGAAATCAAGAAGAGAATCATGGAGGGAGCACATAGCTCCAAATTTACGATGCATCCTGGTAATACAAAAATGTACCACAACTTAAAACAGAATTTCTGGTGGCCAGGTATGAAAAGGGAGACTGCAGAATATGTCTCAAAATGTCTATAATGCCAACAAGTGAAAGTGGAGCACCAAAGACCGGCAGGTCTATTACAATTTAACTATGAACTTTATTATGGGCTTCCCGCGAACTCCCAGGGTATGAACTCCATATGGGTTATTGTTGATAGATTAACTAAATCAACTCATTTTCTTCTTGTAAGGCTCAGTACAATGCGGATAAGTTGGCTACCATATATGTGGATGAAATTGTGCGACTACATGGTATTCCAATTTCCATTGTGTCTGATAGAGACCCAAAGTTTGTGTCAAGGTTTGGGTGAAGTCTACAAGATGCCTTGGGGACAGAATTGAAGTTCAGTACGGCCTTCCACCCTCAGATGGATGGTCAATCAGAGAGGACCATACAAACATTGGAGGACATGCTTCGAATGTGCGCTGTAGATTTTAAAGGAAACTAGGAAACTCACTTGTCGTTGGCAGAATTCGCATATAACAGCAACTAACACTCGAGTATAGAAATGGCACCCTATGAAGCTCTATATGGAAGAAAATGTCGCTCTCCGGTATGCTGGACTGCAGTCGGTGACAAGTCATTAATTGGACCAGAGATTGTGCAACTGACAACAGAGAAAATTAAGACTATTCAAGAAAGGTTGAAAACTGCACAGAGTAGACAAAAGAGCTATGCTGGTCATCAATGTAGGGACTTGGAGTTTGAAGAGGGTAATTATGTTTTTGTCAAGATCACACCAACAAAAGGGCACTCAAGATTTGGTAAAAAGGAAAAATTGGCACCCAGATACATAGGTTCATTTCAGATTCTGGGAAGAATAGGTCCGGTAGCCTATCGTGTGGTACCATGTTAGTACATGTCTATGAGTAATTTGAGCCACGCCGGATATGGATCAAGTACATAATGTATTCCATGTTTCAATGTTACGAAGTTATTTAAAAGATCCATCCCATGTTATATACTACCAACAAATTACCTTGGATGATAAATTGATTTACGAGGAGAAACCAATCCAGATCCTGGATCGACAGAAGAAACAGTTGCGAAGAAAGGTGATTCCTATGGTGAAGGTAGAATGGCAGGAGCATTATGGGAAGGAAGCCACTTGGGAACGAAAGGATGAAATGAGGCAACGGTACCCAGAATTATTTTCAACTTAAGGTAAACCAAGTTTAGGGACCAAACTTATTTAAGGGGGGAGAGTGTAACAACCCGACCCTCTTATGTGCTTATATCTTTAAATTTATGAGTAACTACATGTTTAATGTGAAATTTCGTGCGCAGTGATACTCACGTGTAGAAGTTGTTTAATAATGTTTACCTATCTATTGATTATTCCTGGATCGACAGAAGAAACAGTTGCGAAGAAAGGTGATTCCTATGGTGAAGGTAGAATGGCAGGAGCATTATGGGAAGGAAGCCACTTGGGAACGAAAGGATGAAATGAGGCAACGGTACCCAGAATTATTTTCAACTTAAGGTAAACCAAGTTTAGGGACCAAACTTATTTAAGGGGGGAGAGTGTAACAACCCGACCCTCTTATGTGCTTATATCTTTAAATTTATGAGTAACTACATGTTTAATGTGAAATTTCGTGCGCAGTGATACTCACATGTAGAAGTTGTTTAATAATGTTTACCTATCTGTTGATTATTGGAATACAACTGTTAAACTTAACGTATTGATTTGGAAATTTAAACTATAGAGGTGTAATAAACTGAAATTAAACATGAGAACATGTTAGTGAGAATTTTTAGAGCAGCGTGGGAAGTTTAATTGAAAATTTATTTTGTGCGATTCACTAGGGCTTGTTTGGCAACTTGAAGCCAAAGACCTATATATGGCATATAAGTCTTCTTATATTGAGCTCATCTCTCCACAAATGGGTTGAGTGGAGAATTTAGGGAAACTTGAAGAGAGAAAGAGAGAAAGAAGAGGAAAGCAACAAAAGTTGGAGTATTAGGGAACTATTAGAGACACTTGAAGAATCCAACCTAAGGTGAGTATGGATGGTCATTAAACCCTAAATTTCTTTTCAGTTGGTTGAATTAGGCTTGAAGTGGTACATCGTTTATAAGAGAAAAGAACTAGGGCTTAATCTCCATGAATGTGTTTAAACACCTATGATTTATAAGCATGAGTATCTATGTATATGTATGTGTATTTACTTGATGATAATGAAGAATTTATGGAGAGTGAGGGGTGTATAACCCCAAGAACAAGCCTTGGTCTTGATTTATTTAAAAACACATGTTCATGTGTTTGTATGCTATAATGTTGGTGTGTATTTACCTTCAATTTGGCCATGGGACTACCCCTTGTACACTTAGAAATGTTGAAGTTTCGGTCTGAAAAACAGGGTAAACAACCGCACGTGTGGTAGGCTTGAAGTGGTACATCGTTTATAAGAGAAAAGAACTAGGGCTTAATCTCCATGAATGTGTTTAAACACCTATGATTTATAAGCATGAGTATCTATGTATATGTATGTGTATTTACTTGATGATAATGAAGAATTTATGGAGAGTGAGGGGTGTATAACCCCAAGAACAAGCCTTGGTCTTGATTTATTTAAAAACACATGTTTATGTGTTTGTATGCTATAATGTTGGTGTGTATTTACCTTGAATTTGGCCATGGGACTACCCCTTGTACACTTAGAAATGTTGAAGTTTCGGTCTGAAAAACAGGGTAAACAGCCGCACGTGTGGGGCCCATTGCTGCACTGTGATACCCCTGTTCCGTAATATGCTAAATTGGTCCTTAATTTGAATATGATTATGTGTTCAGCATGACTTTATGTGCCATTATGTGATTTTGCAATTCTATCAGTTCACTGTAGGAATATCTGTTTGAGTAAACTACTTTGGGAATTAAATTGAGGGCCCTATCAGCCACAGAACCCGAAATTGATCGCGCCATTGTGATTGGCGTAATTTTTAGAGCCTACGGTGGAGTTTAATTGAAAATTAATTTGGGTCAGATTAAATCGATTAAATTGAGGAATTAAGTGCCCAAATATTTTATAATGAAATAATGTGTTGAGTGGGGCTAAATAGGGGCCTTATTATGATCAATTCCTTACCCTTATATCATTTTGGCTGAAGTTTAACTCTCTAGAAAAGAGAGATAGTTGACTTTGAGAGAGATGGGAGGCACCTTTGGGCATTTTGATTCAAAATTGTGAATTGGGAAGGCTAGGTGCATGACTTGGCCATAATTGTGAAGATTGAGCCTCTAGGTAAGCATTGATTCTTGAATTCATGAGTTTAATGTGTAATCTTGTGTGTTCAAGGGTTGTTTGTGATCAAGAGCATGATTTGAGATCATTTTGTTGAAATTGAGGCTTGATATGTGCATGGATGTAATGAACTCCCATGGAATCACAAATCTAGCATGTAATTTGTGAAATTATGAAAGTTTGGTAGTGTAACCCCACATGCAAGCAGGTCTTTGTTAAATTTTATGGGAATGAGCACTAATTACATTATTTGAAGTGAATATGAAGTCAAGAGGGCATGCATGTACAAATCATGGGAGTATAAGTCTTGAATGTTTGAATTTGAGCATGTTGGTGATGAGGTTGTGATATTTTGGGACATGCATTCAAATAAATTATGAAATTGAGCTTCAATATGTTGTAAATTATGCTTGTACCATGTTAGTACATGTCTATGAGTAATTTGAGCCATAACATGCATAAATTGTTGGTTGATAGTCGAAGTGAAGCTCAACAACACAATTCTGGGTTTTCCAGAATTTTGAGGTCCGCTCGAGCGGGGGACCTGCCGCTCGAGCGGGAAATGCGTGCTCCCAGTACTTTTTGCAGACTTGATGTCCGCTCGAGCGGGGTAATTCACGCTCGAGCGGGGGAGCTATTTTGACAGGCCTTCCACTTGAGCGACCTATTTAACGCTCGAGCGTATTTTTGATGTAACCAGCACTTTTGCAGGCCTTAAGGGTCAGCTCGAGCGGAGTATTCCATGCTCGAGTGGGGACCCTATTTTCTGAAACTCTGAAAATGCATTCTGTGTTATATTTTTCCGTTCTCTTTCACTTGTAAGCACTCTTAGGCATGCATTGAGCATTGTAAATGAGTTAACGAGTTAAGAATAAAGCCTAAAGAGGAATATGTGAATTAGAGAACGGATTGAACTGTTAGTGACCCTTTTGTGTTCATGAAATATGTAGGGTCAAGCTCCAGGGTAAATCCACAAGCCGATCACTGTGAGTAATATCGATATTTGAATGATTGTGAATGTCCAATTATTATTCCCTTATAAGCCTTATGAGTTGCTAATTGGGATTGTGGACAAAAGTCTGACAGGAATAAACATAAATGGACCAAAGTTCGTTTTGATGAACATAAACGGACCAAGGGTCGTTTTGATAAACATAAATGGACCGAAGGTCATTTTGATAACAAAAGAACGGACCGAAGGTCGTTTTGACCTATATGAGTGGACCGAAGGTCGTTTTGACATATATGAATGGACCTAAGGTCGTTTTGATAGAAATAAATGGACCTAAGGTCGTTTTGACATAAATGAGTGGGCCGATGCCTCTGTTGGTTGAGTTTTTACAACTTGTCAAATATCAAAAAAATTGTCAAATATTTTAATTTATAGAGTAGATTTAATTTGATCAATACAATTTTTAATTTTTTTGTTTTGAATACGTCTGTATATATTTTTATGGGTTGACTTAGTTTTGGATGATCCTGTCTGTACAGAACCTATGTCACTATGTTTCTGTTGTGAGTTATTAACGTACATACGTGTGGTTTGTTTTGATGTGCCATGTAAGCACAGCTTTATAGACAAAGTTTTAAATTTTTGCTTCCCTTTTGGCCCCCCTTTACTCTGATGTGTTAAGTCTGTTTTGGTTTGAGGCCGTAGGCAATCTTAGGATTACTGGCCGGTTACGTCCTTAACCCATGGGGGCGGGTTCGGGTCGTGACGGAGTGGTATCAGAGCACGAGTTAATAACTCACGCACTTGTCCAAGAGAGCAATGAGCGTCTAGAAAAGATCTAGGATGCATTCATGTGATAAGTATGAATTCGAAAGCATCGAGAATATGCTTAAGTGTTTTGATTTGGGCAATTACGTGCTATAAGTTATGCTGTACTTGCATTGCAAATTGTTTGACTACATACGCTCTCTAGTATATGCATATTTGTAGAATTTTTTTTGTATATTGTATAATGCAAGTTTAATTAGATGGTGAGTAAGAACTCCGTAAAGTTATCTTTAACTTTAAATATTTGTTGATGATATGAAATGACAAGTACCCTGGAATGCTATG